AACATAGAATTCAAAAAAAAATCATGGAATTTAAAAAATTAAGTTCTGGAACTTAAAAAAAAAAAATGGTGATAAAAGAAACACAATCCATTTATGTGAGGAAAAACTCAGTGACTTAGGATCCTGGCAGCTTTAGTTCAAGTCTAGGCTTGAAAATAGGCCTTCTCCTCTGGCAATTTGTTTTAGGTACTTTAGAAAATTTTGCTTAACATCCGAATGCCTCTATTTCCCACTTGTGAATGACAAAAAAACATCTGCTGTCCTTTCAAAGGATTGTATGTAGATAAAATCTGTTCAAGATTGTAGACAGATTCTGTAAAAACAGATTTTTTTTTATGTCAGCTTGCTTTAAAAAACTAATCTTTTCTTTTAATCATAAATGGTATTTTCAAATTGTTTATTAGAAGCAAAAATTCAGTTTTCAGCAAGTTCAATAAATAGTGCTTTAAAGAACAACACTTCAGGTTTCTGGGAACAGAGAAGGTATGTAATCATGTTGCATGTAGGTTGACTTATATTTCAGAATTTTACAGCTTAAATTGAGAGCACTGTCAAGTATTCACATTCTTCTGTCCTTGCAGAAACTTGAATGACTCTCCTAATCCATGAGTCATGCACATTGAGAGTTGATTCGAGCAAGAAGAATAAACCAAAGAATATAATGTCTACTTAGTTATCTATTTTTTTATTTCTTGTCTCACCAAATTCTTTCGTTTCAAGCTTTGAACTTGAAAAGCTATGCCGATTTACTATGTCTGTAAAGAAGAACTATCGCCGTGTGCCCTACCACAACTGGAAGCATGCGGTCACCGTTGCACACTGCATGTATGCCATACTTCAGAACAACCAGGGTCTTTTCACTGATCTGGAGGTAAGTGAGGGGGTAGTATGAGTTACTAGGTCTCATTGTAGATATCAACCATCATGGAAGTGCATTTTCTATTTTAGAAATTTGATATCAGCTTGAGCAGAGTGCATAAACCATGAAATGAATCTCATACTCCTTGCTGTGGGGTGAATATGATTAGAAAGCTTGAGGAATGAGAATTCTCTGGATTCCTGTGAATAGTGTTTCCTTCATATGTGTCAGGTGTGCTCACTGTAGGAGTGACACGTTTGCTATAAAACTATTTTGCCATTCTCTCTGCTCCCTTATAACCACATCCTTTCTCTTAAATCCTTGAATGTGTAAGAAAATGTCAAATCTGTACTGACGGGAAGGAAACTCCTTAATGTTGGGCATTGTGGCAAAAGGGGGATACACAGTAGCATCAGAGAGAAAAGCTTGGGTGTTGCATAGATGGATAACCTACATGAGTAAAGGAAAAGAATAGGAACGATAGAAGGAAGCATTTGACCAGACATGTTTATTCACTGATGAAAATTTGTTACTCAGCAGCTGTCCTTAGCATGTGTATATATTTTTCTAAGCCATCTGCATAGTTTAGAAAATTCATACATTTAATAGACCACTGATTGAAAAAAAAAGTGCAATTATAAAATGGAAAGCTTGGTTTTAATTTTAATATGAGTAATGAAGAATTGCCCTTTTAAAAATATATGTTTTTTAATTACTGTAAGGGCATCTGCACGTGATAGCTGGGGATAGCTGCACCCCTGGGATAACCTTTTTTATTTGTTCATACCTTTGCCAAAATCTAGCCAACTGGGTTGTAATTTTCTAAGCTCACTGTCTATTTCAGGCTGATCTATTTGGGGAGATTTCAGATAAAATTCTGTGGCTCGTTTAGAGAAACACAGTACAAAAAATCATTTTTCTGTTCAGTTTATAAGAATAAAATAAAATTTGGTGACTTTTCATTTGAAAAGATCTAGAGTGTATTCTGTTTTAAAGCTGGGACTTGAAATTTGGCAGCAATACAGGAAAATGGCATTTGCCAGCTGTATGCTGGCCACATTATACATGTTTAAAAAAATCAGTGTTTTTTCATAACAAAAATCTGTAGATTGCACTGTTGGGAGGTATTCAGAGCTTTCATAACATGAGTACTGATCAAATAGTATATCCCATCTTTCTGGAGCAGTTGACATTTGGGGTAAGAAATGCTGTTAAGAAAGATGGAAACCATCACTGTTCCCTGTCAGACTTGTCTCAGCCTTCACCCACTGGAACACCTTATCCCAGATTACATTCAAGTTCTTGCTAGCAGTGTTGTTATCCTGACGCTGGGGATGTATCTGACAGGAATACAGGCAGCTGCTGAAGGAAAAAGCCTTGGGAACCTGCTCAGGCTGGTCTGAAGGAAGGGATGATGATATGCACCAAGGTAGGCAGAGCGATGGGAAGGTACAAAATACTGTCAGGGAGATTCTGATCTAGAGACAAATGGAGTCAGCAATTAGCAGTCACTGAAGATCAATGATCCAGGCAGGGACATTAGGTACAATCTCAAAAGCACAGGGATTAGGCATTGTATTTCTGAGGGACTGAGACAAGAGTGAATCCCTGGGAAGTAGAGACAGGGATAAACTAGACTATCCAGCACAAGGAGCCAGAGAGACAAAAAAAATGGACTGGGAAACCACAGGTTGGAAAGAATACTGAGAGAGAGTTAAACTTGTGGGGCAAGAACAAAAAAAAGCTTACACCCTCTAGATCTAATATGCAGCACAAAGGATTTTGAGACTTGTTGTTATTTCCTTTGCTCTCAGAATGTCCATTGGCAACGTGTCTTGCCCTTCCTTATAGAAGGGGATCCTAGTTTCCAGTAGCTGTCAGCTGTTTTTATGACTTGTAGATTCCTGTTATGTGACTGAGGGTTTCCCTTCTGCTGAGAATCTGTGTGGATGTGTCCTGCCTTATGATCAGTTTTGCTCCATTTGCTTTAGAAAAAAAAGAACTTCATAAAATGCGGTATTATAAGGACATCATTAAAAATAAAAGTGAAGATTAGAAAGTGAAGAGGCAAAGGTCTCAAACTCAGAAATACAAGAATTAGGTGTGCTATAACCTTAACTGAGCACATGGTGTTTTTGATAACATATTTTATTATATGATCACGTGCTGTTTTTCCACAGAATCACAGAACACAGGATGGAGACTGCTCACTTATTGCTCATCAGCGCCTACTATTAGATTGTTAATTTCATAGGCTTTTTATGATGTTCATGGCTACAGCAGCTGCTTCACAGACATTAATGAATATGTTTTTCAAAACACACCTGTTGTGTGAAGAGATTTCTCAGGTGTCCACTGATTTTTATGTCAGAAGGGAGATTTCAGGGACTCTAGTTTTCAATGTGTTAATTCAATGTATTACTTAAATATCAATTCATTTTTTTAGTTCATTTTCAGTTGCTGTAATGTAGATCGCATTAGTGAGTGCCTCCTAAAAGTACTGGTTCTAGGATGACCTTTGCCTGTGAGCCAGCACTAAGCCTGGTGGCCTCTAGAGCATCTAGAGATGATTGTGAGTACTAAGATTAGGATTGAGAGAGAGAAAGCCATTGTCTGCAAGGGGAGTGGTGCATGTGAAAGGAAATGTAGTGCTATGTTGAGGTTGGTTCTAGGACAATATTTGCCTTTGAGGCAGCACTAGGCCTGGTAGCCTCAACCACCACACCCTCCTGAGACTACAGTGAGAATGACAAGTGCAAAGAGCAGGGCCCTGTGGGGAGTAGGGTTATAAAGGGCATGGTGTGAAGGAAATGTAGTGCCATATCCAGACTGGTGCTAGGACACATTGCCGTTGAGCCAGCATTAGGCTTTGTTGGTCTCAGCCTTCAGACTCACCTGAGATTTGGCTGATACCTGGGGCTAGGCTTAGGCTAAAGAGTGAGAGAGAGTCTAGAGTCCCATGTGGAGAGAGATTAGAAGGAGCATGGCAACAGAAATGCACTATATTGAGATTGGTTCTAAGGTGACATTTGTTGTTGAGCCAGCACTAGGCCTGTTGGCCTCAGAAGCCCCTTGAGATGATTCTGAATATTAGGGCTAGGGTTAAGAGAGAAATCCTAGAGCCCCATGGGGAGTGGGGCTAGAAAGGGCATACCAAAGGAGATGTAGTGATATACCCAGACGGGCTTTAGGACAAGGTCTTTGAACCAGCACCAACTTGGTGGCATGCTAAAAGTACAGTGCTAAAATGGGTTTTATGAGGCTTAGTCAGCATCTCGTAGGAACTATGTTGTAAAGGCAGGGTTAGCGCAGCAGTCTTAACCGTGAGCTCGTATATCCAATGTATTTTCCTTCCCTCAATAATTCAGTCTTTTCTTTCTGTATGTTAAAAAAAAAAATTAATAATAATAGTCATGATAAGGATCCAATGGACAAGAATATCTGTACAAAATTCTTACCTTTTCATGAAGCAGAATTCCTCCTGTAGTATGTGACTATGAAACTGTGTATTATAATTCATTATATATATATATATATATATATATATAAACAAAAATATCT